CCCGCCACAACGCCTGGCTAGTTTTTGGTTGCAGCCATCATTGTTTGGTGGGTCCGGGTTGGATTTGAACCTGCCACCTTAGGTGTATGTGGCTGGCACCTTAGCCACTTGAGCCACAGGCGCCGAGCCCAGAGAATTCTTTAAGTGTAGGCATTGGCCTGTTTCTAGGATTCAAAAAACAAATTATAGTTTTTTATTATGAACATGCTTTTAAAAGTGCATGTTTTAAGTATTTAAGATGTACACCCCCCCATTACTAGATTATCACAGAGTAAAAAATGAGTAAAAAATTCAATTTGTAAGATTATCATTGGTGGGACTTTTGTTCTCAATTAACAAACAGGCTGCTAATTAGTGTTCAGTGTGTGATGATAATGAGGTAACATTAGATTTTGAGTTGCAATAGAATAGAAGTATATGGCCAAAATTAGTGGGGAGGCCATTCTATTGCCAAAGAACAGAAATATATCTAATGCCGTCCTTCTCCTATAGAGGAAGAAGAGGTGACATACACAGTCATTGATCAGTTCCAGCAGAAGTTTGGTGCTGCTGTAAGTACTGTCCTCAGTCATTCCCAGTTTTGTCTGTATGCAGGTATCGTATCTGTGTCTCATAAATTTATTATAAGATCTTTGATGTTTTCCCTACTAATTAAATAAAATATTTGGGTATGTGTTAAATGCCAGATACTATTTTGAGATCTGGGGTAAAACAAAAATCAAGACAAAGTTCCAGCCCTCAAGGAGTGTACGTTCTAACGTAAGACAATAAATGAATGATTGTATTTCAGCTGACAATAAGTGGTATGAAGAAAAATAAAGCATGGTATGCAGAGTAGAGTGACAGGGAGGTCCTGTTTTATATGGAGTAGACAAAACTTCTCTGAGGAGGTGACACTGGGATAGAGACATAAAGGAAGTAAAAGAGCTAACCATGTGGATGTCTAGGTGAAGAACTTAAAAGTAGAATTAGCAAGTGCAAAGGCACTGAGGCTGAAACATTCTTGACTTGGGTATAGGAACAGCAGCTCCCTGTGTCAGGGAGGTCAGTGAGGCAGGGACACCTTGAAGAACAGTGGTAGGAAACGGGGAGGGGCCTAAAGCTAGATCATATTGGGCTTTCTGCACATTATTGGGATATTGAGTTTGACTTAAGTGAGATGGAAAACCATTCACTCAAACTCAATATTGGGATATTGAGTGTGACTCGAGTAAGATGGAAAACCATTCACTCAAACTCAATATTGGGATACTGAGTTTGACTCGAGTGAGATGGAAAACCAGTACAGTTCCTGGACTTACTTTTTTTTTTGAGATAGAGTCTCACTTGGTCACCTTCAGTAGAGTGCCATGGCGTCTTAGCTTACAGCAACCTCAAACTCTTAAGCTCAAGTGATCCTTTTGCCTCAGCCTCCCAGTTAGCTGGGACTACATGCACCCACCACAATGCCTGGCTATTTTTTTTGTTTGTTTTGCAGGCCTGTGCCAGATTCGAACCCACTAGCCCCAGAGCATGTGGCCAGCACCCTAACCACTGAGCTAAGGGTGCCTAGCATCTGGCTTACACTTTTAAAGGACCAATCAGGATGCTCTACTTACGCAATTTTTCTGTGATTGTGTGTGCATATTTACATGTATATTTGAGAAGTGGCAGTATGTAATTATTTATCCTAAGAGTGTGGCTCACAGATGGACTTCAAAAGAGTCACTCAGCTTTCTGTTTAGGTGCAAGACTATGCTCCTGTGTACATGGGTGCATTTTTATAGTTTTTTTTTTTGAGGCAGAGTCTCACTTTGTTGCCCTCGGTAGAGTGCTATGGCATCATAGCTCATAGCAACCTCAAATTCTTGGGCTTGAGTGATTCTCTTACCTTAGCCTCCCAAGTAGCTAGGACTATAGGCACCTGCCACAATTCATGGTTATTTTTAGAGACTGGATATCACTCTTGCTCAGGCTGGTCTCAAACCTGTGAGCTCAGGCAATCCATCTGCCTTGGCATCCCAGAGTGCTGGGGTTACAGGCGTGAGCCACCATGCCCAGCCCTAATGGGTGCATGTTTAAAGGGAGAGTTAGCTCTCAACAAATTCTTTTTTAAAACAGCATTATTGAAATATAATCCATATGCCATGCAGTTCATCTATTTAAAATGTTTAGGTCACTGTTTTTACAATAGTATATTCACAGAGTTGTACCTCAAACACCATAATGAAATTTAGAACATTTTTGTTACCCCAGAAGGAAACTCCACACATCTTAGCCATCACTCTTAATTCCCCTCCTCTCAGCCCCTGGCAACCACTAATCTACTTTCTATCTACAAATTTGCCTGTTCAGGACATTTCATATAAATTGCATCATATGGGAAGTGCCTGTGGCTCAGTGGGTAGGGCACTGGCCCCATATACCGAGGGTGGCAGGTTGAAACCCGGCCCCAGCCAAACTGCAACAAAAAATAGCCAGGCATTATGGCGGGCACCTGTATTCCTAGCTACTTGGGAGGCTGAAGCAAGAAATTGCCTAAGCCCAGGAGTTGGAGGTTGCTGTGTGCTGTGTGACGCCACAGTACTCTACTGAGGGCAATAAAGTGAGACTCTGTCTCTACTAAAAAAATAAATAAATAAATAAATAAATAGGATCATATATTGTGTGTTGGGGGAGAGAGGAGTTGTGACTTACTTTGTTTATTCAGCATGATGTTTTCAAGATTCATCCATATTGTATCGTGAATCAGTATTTTACTTTTTTTTTTTTTAATAGAGACAGTCTCACTTTGTTGCCCTCGATAGAGTGCAACCTCCAACTCCTTGGCTTAGGTGATTCTCTTACCTCAGCCTCTTGAGTAGCTGAGACTACAGGCCCCCGCCACAATGCCCAGCTATTTTTTTGTTGCAGTTTGGTCGGGCCAGGCTTGAACCTGCCACCCTCGGTATGTGGGGCTAGCGCACTACTCACGGAGCCACAGGCACTGCCCATCTTTTTTTTTTTTTTGAGATAGAGTCTCATTATGTCGCCCTCAGTAGAGTGGTATGGCGTCACACCTCACAGCAACCTCCAATTCTTGGGTTTAAGCGATTCTCTTGCCTCAGTTTCCCAAATAGCTGGGACTATAGGCACCCGCCACAACGCCTGGCTATTTTTTGGTTGTAGTTGTCATTGTTGTTCAGCAGGCCCAGGCTGGATTTCAACCCACCAACCTCAGTGTATGCTGGCACTCTACCAGCTGAGCTATAGGCACCAAGCCTCACTTCTTTTATTACCAAATAATATTCTGTTATATAGGTGTACTACATTTTATTTATCCATTCACCATTTGATGGACATTTGGGTGGTTTCTACTTTTTGACTATTGTGAATAATGCTGCTATGAACATTCATGTGCAAGTTTTTGTGTGGATATGTTTTTATTTCTCTTAAATAGATACCTAGGAGTGAAATTGCTAGATTGTATGATAACTCTATTATATGTTTAACTTACTGGAGGAATGGCCAGACTGTTTTTCAAAGCTGCTGCACAATTTTGCTTTTCTACCAGCAGTATAGTAGTGTTCCAGTTTCTCCACATCCTTGCTAACATTTATTATTATCTATCATTTGATGATAGCCCCATCCTAGTTAGTATGAAGTAGTATCTCTTTTTTTTTTTTTTTTTTT